GGGATTAGTGATGATTGTTGTCTCGTTCTTGAATTGAAAATATATGATTGTTGTGTGATGAGAATCGATGAATTTTTGGATGAATAATGATGTCTTGATGTTGTTTAATTGTTGTAGAATTATAAGTTAATTATGGGTGATAAATTGTCACGATTAGATTAGGTTTAAGGTTTTATGTATGAATCTGTAAGGATAACAGGGAAGAAGAAACGTAGAAATATTGTAGTGCAGAAAATGCAGAATTTAGCAATTGATAATAGGCGCTACTGTATTAGAACTAATGAATTAATTTAGAGAATAGAAATTGGTTGATATTGTTCGTAGCTAGAATGACATCAGGCAAGGAATTAGAACAATAGGATGAACAGAAAATAGCAGTTCTGATGTTAGACGTAGGTGTTAAAAGTTGTGTGGCCTAGTGAAAGGTAGGAATTCTGGTGTTAGAAGCTACGTTGAATTACTAGGAAATAGAAGTTCTGACGTTAGTAGTTATATGGGTTAGAAGATGTGGTCAGTCAGAGGACGGTGATGATCAGAAGTTGTATCTGGTCAGAAGTTGCACTAGTCAAAAGATGGGTTAGTCAGCAGATGTGATGATCAGAAGTTGTACCTGGTCAGAAGATGAGGTTAGCCAAGAGCTGTGATAATTAGAAGTTGCATCTGATTAGAGTCTGCCTTAGTCAGAAGTTATAACAGTCAGAAGATTGTGTCGTTAGAGGCTGCATTAGTCAGAAGTTGTGTATTTAGACAGAGCGTTGATTAGAGGTTGCGTGGTCAGGAGTTGGATGACCTTTGCGTTGTTTTGTGCAGGGCGATGAACGTTAGATTCTTAGAAGCTGCTGTTGAGCTATAACGGTAGGAATAATGACGGTCATGATGTTAGAGTTGCAGAATGGCAATATTGTTTTACTGTGGAATTTAAATATTGTTGAGTTATTAATAAGAAGTTATTAATAAATAATGATGTTTGATGATTGATAAATAAATGATGTTTGATGATTTATAAATAAATGACGTTTGATAAATTATTTTGATTATTTGAGATGTTATTTTGAAATGTATTTTGAGATGTTTTGAGATGATTATTTAAGATGTTTTTGAGATGATTATTTGAGATGTTTTTGAGATGATTATTTGAGATGCTTTTGAGATGTTAATTTGAGACATTTGAGATGATTTGAGATGTTGTTAACTTGAGTGTTATCATTACATTCATGGTTGTGTCGCATACATTGCATTTTTAAGATGGAGCTTATGCTCGTTGAGATGGCCTGGATTGGCAAATTTTGAGATGAATGCTATGCCTTGTTACTGCCTCTATTAATTGGCAAATTTTTGAGATGGGAGTTCTGCTCCAATGGTACCACATGCATTTGCATAGTTTTGAGTCACATTATATAATTTCATAAAGAAGTGTATTTTTATGTTGATGAATGAATATTATTGTTGAGATTGTCGTTGATTATGAGATGAGAAGTGGTGATGTTGTTGATCTAATTTAAATATATTAATTATCATGCGCTTTATTATATTATTAGATATCGCACCCCTTCTGTTTGAATGTTGCCCTATGTTGGTAACGTGCAGGTAATCGAGAGTGAAGGCTGTATACGTTTAATAGTTTGAGTCAGTGTCATTGCTCTGATATGTAACACTCGGGGGATGAACGCTTGCTGATTTTTGATTGTTGATTTTCAGTTGTTGAACCTTAAATTGATTATTATTAAATATGTGATGTTTTGAAGTTGTTGTTTTAAGTTGTTAAAGATGTTATTAAGAATTCCGCTGCGCAGATGTTGAATTATTTTATTTAAAGATGTTATGATGGTTCATCCGATGTTTTGAAAGTGTTATATATCCACGATGAGTGCAATGAATTGTTAGAAGAATTTGTGACGTCCCGATTCCTTTATATGATTGAAATTTTATAATTCTAATTTATCTTGCATAATTGCTTATGGTAGAATTGGGGTGTTACATGTTGATGAAGAACACTTTGAGAAAATTGCAGTAAATGCAACTTCGCATAAAGCATGGGAAATCTTGGAAGAGTACAACGACAGTGCAGAGAAATTAAAGAAGGTGTGGCTACAGACGATGAGGCGTCAATATAAAGTGACGTAGATGGAAGACAATGAAAAGATAGTGGATTTCTTCAATTGAATCATAACACACATAAATTCCATAAAGAATTATGGTGAGACGGTCGCGGATAAAAGGATTGTCGAAAATATCCTACGAACCCTAACCCCAAAATTCGGTCATATCATGGTGGCCATATAAGAATCCAAAAAGATTAAAGAAATGAAGGTTGAAGAACTATAAGGTTCTCTCGAAGTTCAAGAGTAAAGAATCGTTGAGAGGCCCAGAGAGAAAATCAGTGATAATCAAGCTCTACAAGCATACATACCAATAAAATGTGGATTCAACCCCAAATCAGGATCTCGAGGAAGGGGTCTTGGAAAAGATTTCAGAAGTACGCCCGAGAGAAATTCTCATAACCAAGAACATGAAAAGAGTGATCAAGATTAATCAGGAAGCTCAAATCAAATGGGAGGATCAACGAATTGGCGAGGTGGAAAGAATAAGATTGATAGAAAGAGACTCAAATGCTTCAACTGTAATTGCATTGGACATTTCTCAACATATTTTAAAACTCCATCAAATCAGAAAGGAAATCAAGCGCATATAGCCAAATAAGGAGATGAAATATGTGCAGAAGATCAACCAATGTTGATGATGATCACTAATCCATATTTGTAGAACAATGAAATTTGGTACATAGACTCAGGGTGTTCCAAACACATGACTAGGCATCGAAATTGGCTAGTCAATTTTGATTCAGGGGAGAAAAGTATGGTGAAATTTGCTGATAACGGGGCCACACAATCTGAAGGAACTGGAAGTGTCATTGGCAACCGAGAATATGGGAAGCAAGTCATTCTCACTAATGTATTATCTATCCTTGGGATGACCACCAATATGATAAGCCTGGGAGAGCTCCTAGAGAAAGGTTTTGTAGCTTCCATAAGCAAAACTTTTCTGGAGATTTATGATAAAACGTGAGGGCTACTCGTGAGAGAACCACTGGCCAAGAATAGAACCTTAAAGGTAAGCCTAAACACCATAGAATCTTAGTGTTTTTCTGATGCTATTTTGAAAGATGATTCATGATTGTGGAACATTAGGTTAGGCCATTTGAATTTTAGAGATATGAAGCAACTGGGGTCAAAGGGAACGGTTACATGACTCCATTTGATTGAAACTCCTAACAAAATATATGATAAGTTCCTAATCATCAAGCAATCTAGGAATTCCTTTAGTGACCATATTATATATAGAGCTAGTGAAGTATTGCAGGTAGTCTACTCTGGTGTATGTTGTCCCTTTAATACTCCAGCACTAGGAGGGAATAGATACTTTGTATCCTTTATTGATGACTTGAACAGGAAGTTATGGATTTACCTAATCAACCCAAGAGTGGTGTGTACAAGACATTTAAGGAATTCAAAGCCCTTATGGAGAAACAATTAGGAAAACATATCAAAACTCTGAGAATAGATGATGGCGGGGAGTTTACATCAGGAGAATTTGAGGAATTATGCAGAGAATAAGGAATAGTGCATGTGATGACTGCACCTTATACACCTCAACACAATGGGGCTACAGAGAGGAGAAACAGGACCATCTAAAACATGGTTAGAAGTATGCTCAAAGGAAAAAATCTACCTCATAGATTTTGGAGTGAAGTTGTCATGACTGCAGTACATGTACTAAATAGGTTCCCAACCAAGAGACATGACACTATGGTTCCAAAAGAAGCTTAGTCAAGAAACAAGCCCTCAATTAAGAACTTTAAGATCTTTGGATCTCTGTGCTACAACGTGTACCTGACCAAAGAAGAAGAAAATTGGATGACAAAAATAAGAAGATGATTTTTGTAGGTTACAATTCAACTGGTTCATACAAGCTGTACAACCCAGAGAACCAACAAGTCACATTCAGCAGGGATGTTTACTTTGATGAAGCATGTTCATGGGAAAAATTTCAATCAAAGGTCAACTATCCAACATGATTAGGAAGAAGATAACCCAAGAATGGAACCACAACACGGTGCAACTAACAATGAAACTCTAAGAGTTACAGACAGACCTACAAGAACAAGTCAAGCTCCTTCAAGGCTTATTGACTATCAAATTTACTCTGATGGAAATATATCAATAGAAGGTGACCTGGTTCACCATATGGCTCTTATGGCAGACATCAAACATATATCATTTGAGGAGACCATCTCAAAGGAAGCATGGAGACTAGCTATGGAAGAATAACTGAAGAGTATTGAAAAGAATGATACTTTGGAGATTGTAAATCTTCCTCAAAACAAAAGATCAATTGATGTCAAATAGGTGTTTAAGACCAAACTCAAACATGACGGATCCATAGCCAAGGACAAATCCGGACTTATGGCAAAGGGATTCATGCAGGAGGAAGGTTTGGATTATGATGAAGTGTTTGCTCCAGTAGTAAGGATGGAAACTATAAGATTGATTGTTTCAATAGATAGCTGGAAGAAATGGAAGTTGTGGCAACTAGATGTCAAGTCAGCCTTTCTAAATGGGCCACTTGATGAAGAAGTATTTGTGTTGCATCCTCCAGGTTTCACATACAAAGGTGAAGAGCAAAAAGTCTTAAGGTTGAAGAATGCCCTCTATGACTTAAAACAAGCCCCTAAGGCATGGAACAAAAGAATAGACTCATTCCTCAACAACCCTGGATCTCAAAAATGCTCAGCAGAACATGGTGTGTATGTTCAGGTAGTTGATGAACAGGAGCTACTAACATTGTGTTTGTATGCTGATGATTTGGTCATCACAGGAAGCAGTCCAAATGGCATGGAATTAATCAAGAGGAAACTGAAAAGTGAATTTGAGATGGCTAACTTGGGTGCTCTATCCTACTTCCTAGGATTTAAGTTTGTGTACTCATAAAATGGCATTTTTATGCATCAGAAGAAGTATTTAATAGAAGTCTTGAAGAAATTCAAGATGATGGGATGCAAGCCAATAGAAACTCCTGCTGAATTCAATGTGAAACTGATAAAATATGAAGATGAAGGGCATGTCGGTGGCATATTGTTCAGGCATATGGTTGGTAGTCTGAGGTATATATGTCATAGCAGGCATGAGATAACTTTCAGTGTAGGTTTGGTTAGAAGATTTATGATTGATCCTAGACATTCACACATGACTGCAGCCAAGAGAATCATGAGGTACTTAAGAGGAACCTTAAACCATGGCATTCTATTTTCCTGTTATAGTGTAGAGAACAATAGTTTAGATCTTGTAGCCTACTCTGATTCTGATTGGTGTGGAGATATGGTAGATTGAAGAAGTACCATGGGGCAAATGTTTATGTTTGCAAGTTCCCCTATATCTTGGAGTTCCAAGAAAAAATGTGGTGGCACTCTCAACTTGTGAGGCTGAATATATTGCAGCCTGCTCAGCTGCTTGTCAAGCCTTATGGTTGTCTACACTACTCGAAGAATTGGAGCTATGGAATGAAGAAGCAGTGGAGTTATTGGTAGATAGCAAGTCAACAGTTGATTTGGCCAAGAATCATGTGTCACATGGTAGGAGTAAATACATTGACACTAAATTCCACTTCTTTAGAGACCAAGTAAGCAAGGGAAGAATCAAGCTTCAACACTGCAGAGCTGAGGTACAATTGGCTCATATATTGACCAAGCCCTTGAAGAGTGAAAGGTTCAAAGAGTTGAGGAAAATGATGAGTGTACTGTCTTTGTAACAGTTTTGAATTAAGGAAAGTTATTAAAATAACTCAAACTGTATGTGTTAGTATCTATTCAGTGGTTATATGTCATGTCTCTTGTATCATGTATAAATACCAACTTTGTTAACAAGTGTATAAGGCTTCTGAATAATAGAATATAATTTTACTCCACAAACTTGTTTTCTATCATAGAATATATTTTTACTCTAACATTTCCCTTCTCAAATCATGTAAGGTGACGAGAGTCTTGAAGATATGGTTGTAAGAAATAAATGTCATAGGCTTACAGTTGTGATTATGATCAGTATTCTACACTTCCGTTGATGAGCATAGAGCTTTCAATCATGAGTGCAGATACATACTTAGGGGTTACACAAGTGCAGATCCATACAAAGGTGTTCAGTTTCTTCTCTCATGACTCTGAGACACTAATGCATCTTTGTTGGAGCATTCTATGTACTAGGAGGTCATTTAGGCTTACATGTTACATGTTGTTGGATGCACTACTTTAACAGATATGTCACATGTCTACATTGATTTGAGGTACATATCTTAGTCAATTGTTTCGAAAATACACTTCCAGTAAAAGCGTGATCTTTTTTTGTTTCAAAATCATATTAACGTGAGGAATGAGGAATGAGGATTGAAATGAATGAACTTTACCTTAAATTCCACTTTTTTTAGCTCATTTTGATTTGATGAAACACAAGAATGGAGATTTGGAGTGAAAAACTTGATTGAGAATGGAGTTTTTGGAGAGGGTTTAAGGAAAATATGGCAAATGAAGTTGATCATGCAGGTTTCTGCTTTTAGCAATTTCACTTTTGATTTTTCTAGAGATGCATCTCAAGAATAATCTGACATGCAAATGTGACATGATTTTAATTTCCCGCACAATTTTACCAGTGTTGCATCTCCGGAATTATTCATATAATAGTTTTAAAACAATTTATTATATCACATTCTCGAAGATATATCTCTAGAATATTTTTTAATTTGAGTTTAGGATAACACTAAATTTACTAGCTTTTGTGTGACGCAAAAGGTGCATTCTCCGAAAACAGAGAAGCAATTTCAATTTTTCAAAGAGTTCTTTTAAATTATATAAGATATAATAAGAAATATCTTAAATATTTCACAAAAGGAATTAACATTACAAATTATTCTTTTCAATCCAAATCAACAAACTTTAAATATTTTGAGCATATGCATTTGAAACATTAAGTGGAGATTTATTTAATTTTGGTAATTTTTTAATTAACATTTTTATGCTGGAGTTTTTAATGATTTATTCTCATTCAACTTTCATTATGATCAATAAGTTTTTTGTAATGTTTATTTTCATATCTAAGTCTAACAGTCAAAATTAGATGTATCCTTTGACTTCATCAATGAATTAACTTTACTGCTTCATATTTCAATTCAATTAAACGTTAAGTAGACTTTGACAATCTTTCAAAATCTAAGCGAGTGAATTCATGAAAGCATTTGCATCATATTTTTTAAAAACACAACATAAGTATAAAAATATGTAACACAAAAGTGCTATAGAAAAATGATCAGTGGCTGAACTTGAACTACTAAAGAGAATAATATATATATCTAATATGTTTTGAATAATATTCTCATATGTTTATGAACTTTTACATAAGAATGGCTGGCAGAAGGTTCTGTAGCTTCCAACCAATTTGTTATCAATAGAAATAAGGATGTCCTCCAATTGCTCAAGCTGCAGCTGAATGATCAGTGCCAATATATACTCTATGCTCAGAAGACAAAACATATTAGATTCAACGACTACTCAGAACAATCGAAGCAGCAGCAGCAGTCACGTGACTATGAAGATAACTATGCGAGAACAATGTGGATGTTAATTGTTCAATAGAGAATAGGAATGCGTAGGAGGCGAAGGTTAAGCAGAAGAAGCCTAAGGTTACGGTGGCTGAGGCTGCAGCAAAGATTGACACGGCTAGTCTGAAGGAACTCAAAATCCATAGGACAAGAGTAGTAAGGAAATATTATTGGAACTCATGAACCCTGAATATTATTCATTCTTTTTTTTTTTCAATACATATTCAATTATATTTTTTTCAGCCCAAATTGCCTCCATCACTGTGATTTGTGGAAGTCTTTGATAAAGTCCTCTGAACAATGCTACTACCACTTGACTTCTCTACCTCCTTCTTCTCCATCCTATACAAATCGCCTCTACATCATCAACATTCCTTAGATTAACTTGAAAGGTTTATTATGCAGTTTAAGATGTAGACAAGTGAAGATGTCTTAGAGATAAAAGCTTTACAATGGAATTTGGTATCACTTCCAAATCAGTGCAGGAACTCAGCCTTACAATTCTCCCATTTTCCAATTTCTTTAGGAAGTGCAGAAAGCTTGTAAGACCGAGTGTCTTTAATGGGCTGATATCGCAGACTCCATTAGGAAATACCACCAAATCTTTGCATTAACTCTTCTACATCAATTGAAAGTAATTCACTATAGTTCTGAATGACCTTGCCATAGTTCCTTCGCTATCTTTCGCCACAAGTCATAAGGCCCATTTCTGACTGATGTTGCATTCACTTTAATGGTAGTAAACCTTTGCAAATTTTCAAAACCTGCATTTGAGTGCAAGTAAATATGGTTAGTACATCAAGGGATTAACTATGACTTAAGCACCGTTGAGAGATGTGTACCATACACCAAAGCGAATTGAGAATTGTGTGACTATGATTGAAACCCTTCATTTCGTGAATGGATTGTGATGCATTTAACGAGCCTTGATTCTCATCGATGGTGAAAAATGTTGAGTAGCAGGCTGGCTAGATAAGGAGTTTGCACGGATACTTTTGCCTTTTTTGAGAGCGGCATTAAAATTGTTATGCTCGAGCTTCTTTGTATTGAGAAAGCAACCTCCATTTCCTGTTGCCCTTTCCAAATCATGTAAGGTGACAGGAGTCTTGAAGATATGGTTGTAAGAAATGAATGTTACGGGCTTACAGCTGTGACTATGATTACAATTCTACACAAATGCCATGCCAACTGCCGAAACTCCCATACCATCAGGATGCTGGTCTTCAAATTGTATGACTGCATCCAACCAAAACCAAATTAAAAATAGTAATATTAATTGCAAGTTTAAGAGAATAAAATAAACTTATTAGGCTTGTTCTACAAGAGCTACTGATAGGAACAGGTGTGCTGACAACAGGTAAAGTTGCACCTGTAAGGAGATGGAGTGCTTCAAAATCTGTTTCTGGTGAGAGAGAGGTGCATAAGGTATGCTAAGCAGTAATGAGCGACTAAAGCTCCTGCATCGATAGCCAGGACTTGTAGCTTAAACACAGACGAGGTAATTATAAATTTGGACAGATGAATAACTTATAAGATATATCTGTACCATGTCACTTACGATTTTCTAAACATAGTTGAGGATTAGCAACATGTCAAGGAAATGTCATGCCAACAGCAGAAATTCCCATACCACTAGGATGCTGTTGCCTCCAAATTTAGTAATTACTGCATCCAACCAAAATAGAAATATTGATTGCAAGCTTAAGAGAATAAAATAACTAATTTCTAGGCTTGTTATAAACAGGTGGGCTGACAGCAATGCCATACATCCTAACAAACCTCATATGCTTCGAGTACTAATCCAGGCAAAGTAATCTTTAACCGTTTCTCATCATCAGCTTCTGATATTTACCATAGAGTCAATTAGTGAGAAATTTGGCACGGTATTATATACATTTTCAATAACCAAGAAAAGAATCCATTCTAACAAAAAAGCGGTTACTTTTCATAGTGACAGAACGAAAACAAAAAAAAACTGTTATTTTAATATTAAATTGAATCTTTTATAGGTCTGGCCTAATAGACTATTGTTAAACTGCACAACATAAAAACATCTACGGTTGTAAAACTGGATGATTGCAATGACAGAAGCATAGTTCTAAATATTAACAAACAAAATCACTTTAAGCATCTGCAGTGTAACACATATTGACACAAAGAATAAGGAAAAGATAGACAAAAAACAGTTTTGCACACGAAGATAGAGCAGTCTTATGTAAAACCTTACTAACTACCATTGTAATAAAGTAAAACATCAACAACAATTGCCCTTTTTAAATTCTCATTCAGCCTTTCCCACATTCAACAACAGCCTAGTTTGAAACAATAAACCAAATGCCAAATTTAAGCTATGAAAATTTAGAGAATGACAAGTTTTTCATTTAAAAATGTGGATTTCAAATAACATACAACCCAAAGGTCTACATTGTTCAAAGTAGAAGCATAGTTCTAAATATTGAGAAACCTAATGACCTATAACCTTATACATCTGCAGTATTGACACAAAGAATAAGACAAAACAACAGACTTGCACACAAAGACAGTGGCAAACTAGTAGTAGTATCAATGTATGAAAACTAAACATCGGCCCGACAGAGTGGACACGTTTGTCTGATATTAACCCATTTCTGAATACAGTCAGTGTGAAAAAGATGAGAGCAGCGCAACTGAATTGGCGTGGAAGAAGCATTAGACAAGTGAACAAGACAAATGCAACAGATGGATTCTGCATCTGTTGTTGATGTTG